GGACTCAGTCTAAAAAAACATTTCCGCTGCTTATCTCGAGTGTAGCAATGGACCGGTTCTGTGAGCAACCCACTGACCTGTGCTGGGTGGGTGTTGGGGCTGGAGCGAGGTTTGTAGGGTATGGGAGGAGGGGGTGATCAGTAAAATGTGGATGATCGCCCCGGTCTCATCCACTGCTTAACTCTGCATTATCAGAAACAACTACAGGCCATTCAACTGGGGAGCTGAAACTGTGAATGTTCAACTTCATAATTAACTCTTAAGGAGCCAAACATATTTTGAATATATTTATCGATATATAAACAAACATATATTGCGATATAATGTATGTACATTTCCATTAATAAATACATAGAAAGCACAAGAAAAGGATATAGATAGACAGATTGATTTTCTCCTGCTGTTTACTACGTCAGTCCTAATAGTTCAGACAGCGTTACTGGTGAGGGTGACCCAGAGACATTCAGTCCGGTTACTGATGCAGGTTCAGTACGAATACATCAGGTGAGGGTTTAATACAGGGAAACTCAGTACTGTTCCTGATGCAGGTACAGTATTAATACTTTAGACTGTGTTACTAGTGTCAGTAAATTATTCAGACATCTGTTGGTGTTACTGCTGCAGGACATTTACTGATATACTTTGTGGTATTATTATGGTGCAAGTGCTCCTGTTACTGGGAACAGACTATTGACGATCACCTTGCTTATTTAATCATTGTTATTTTGCCATTGTCATATATCCTTCATTATGATCCAAACCTGCCATAGATTCCCATTCAGATTCAGATTCAATGACAATCTACTGTCACTGCATCCCCAATCATAGATTCTGATGCTGTGACAGTGTTCTCTCCAGTACGACTTCATTCTGCATAATAATATCCCACAGTTCCTCAATTTCACCCAGATCCTTGATCCTCTCCTCCTTCAGGAATGTTTTGGGGTCTTCTTTAATATCTCGTTCCCTGTTGGGATTTCCTCTGTTTCTGTCTCTCAGGGACCCATGTTTACTCTCATTAATTTCTTCCTCCTTACATCCTTCACGAGCTTTCACAATCTCATTCCATGTTGGTTCCTAATTTACTATCTTTTTCAGATTTCTTTTACTTTATCAATGACTCAGTGACCTTCACCTGGTTCTAATATCCACCCAATCTTCAGGTTTACTATTCTGTCTGCTTTCATAACAAGCTTCCTATGTCCACATGTCACTGACCCGCTCACCAGAGAAAATACTTCGTCTCAATCTGTCCTCCTGAAACTTCTCACCAGCTAATTGGTTAGATCATAACCATCTTGGCAACTTGTATTTATATGGCACCTTCAGTATTGAAAAACGTTTCAAGGCATTTCATGGGAGGGACATAAAATGTAATTTGACACAAGGCCTCATTTGGAGATATCAGACAGATGACCAAAGGTTTGACCAAAGAGTTGTGTTTTAAAGAGAATCTTAAAGGAGGAGGAACAGAGGGAGAGGTTGAAGGAGATTTCAAAGCATTAAGTCCAAACATTTCCAACTTCATCATAACTGAAGTCCTTCATTTCTGTTCACCCTCCTCTGATCCTTTTCTGCGATATTCACCTTCTTCCTGGGCTACAGTGCCTGGAATTGTATTTCCTACATTTTTGGCCTGCCTGTCTGACTGAGCAGCTGTCAGTTTCCAAATTCCCCACTGCCTATAATAGTGTCTGTGTTCTGTTCCTGAAAGCTCAGCATCTATACACCTGCCTCTCTCAAACTGACAGAAATCAAAAAAGGGATTATTTTAATGTCATGGGGAATGGTGTCTTTCCCAATGTCCAGAAATGTAACACTTCTTGCTTAGACCCTAGGAAAGACAGTTTGTGATGATTATTCTATATTTTACTGCTTGGTCATGGAATGTGGGCATGAGCAGTTGGGCTATTGTTCATCTGTAAATGCCCTTGAGAAAGTGGGGTGATCTACCTTTTTAAACTGCTGTGGGCCTTGGGGGGTGGGGTGGGGCGTGTAGCTGCAGCTGTCAGGGAGACAATTCCAGTATTTTGACTCAGTAATGATGAAGGAACAGCGATGTCGTTCCAAGTCAGGATGGTGTGTGTGTTGTTGGGGAACCTGCATGTGGTGGTGATCCCATACATAAGATGCCCCTGTCCTTCAGTCCAGTAGAGGTTGTGGGTTTGGAAGGGGCTGTTGAATGAGCCTTGGTGAGTTGCTCCAGTCCATCGTGTAGATCTACCACTGTAGAGGTGTTGACTATTGATGGTGGTGGATAGGTGCCACAAAACCCAGCTGCTTTGTCCTGGATGGTGCCAAGTTTCTTGAAGGAGATATCTATACACTGGCTGGTGTCTCTCTCTGTCGCTTATTCTCTTTCTCTTTCTCTGCCTCTCTCTCTCTCTAATGAAGATATCTGCACACTGACTGGTGTCTCTCAGTTTCTTTGCTGTTCACAAGCTTGTTACTTTTGAAATAAAGAAACAGGACAAAGTGTGATAGGATCTTTAACCTGATTATTGCTGCTGATCTGTAGCCTGTTGTATAAATTACTAACTTGTCGTGAATTGACATCTCTGCTGGAGGCGGGGACAGGAAGCTCTGTTTCTGGTTTCAGTGGGTGGAGCTGCTGTTGAAGTTGTGGGATCCTCACTCACTTCACTCCCCTATTTAAACAGCACTGACTCCAGCTCCAGATAAAGGTGCCCTGAAGCAGCTGGATTTCTGGAGTGTCTGACTCTGCCTCTGCTTTTGCACAGCGATGGGGATTGCTCCTTATCTCTGTGTCCTTCTGCTCTGTCTGACAGGTGAGAGCTCCCGAGGCTTTCTCCCCACACAGTGAGGCTGTTTCTTCCCAGATTCTGTGACTCTCTGTTTATGTGACGTGTTTATTAAAGTGATCTCTGTTCTGTTTCTCTTTTATTCACAGGTGTCCGGTCTCGGATCGTGCTGAACCAGCCCGAGTCAGTTGTGAAAAAGCCGGGGGAGTCTCACAGACTGACCTGTACAGTGAGTGGGTTCAGCCTGGATGACTACTGGATGAACTGGGTAAGACAGGCCCCCGGGAAAGGGCTGGAGTGGTTACTCGATTACAAGCAGGGTAGCAAGAGTGATTATGCGCCTGGAATTCGAGGCAGATTCGTCCCTTCAAGAGGGTCCACCACAGTCGCCTACCTCGACATCAGCGAACTGAGAATGGACGACACTGCCATCTATTACTGTGCAAGACACAGTGAGAGGAAGTGGGGCTGGACTGGTACAAAATCTCACTGAGAGAATATCCAGTCAGGGGAATCAGTGAAAGGGAAGAAATTATCACGCAGCCCCAGTTATCAGCAAAGCTTCATTCCCTTCCTGGCTTTCCTGGGAATAGGGAAATGTGATTATTCACAGAGGATTCCTGGCGCTGGCGATACAATGGGAAAAGGATGTCGGGACGTGAACAAAGATCTCTCTGGACTGAAACAGGAGACGGCAG